CCTCCCCTCTTGGAGGCGAAGCCCAGCCCAGCTCCTTAGCAGAGCCTGGACTCAGTCCTCCCGCCTCCGCGTTCTCACCCATCGGCCGCCTCCTGGCTGCCTGCTCCTCCAGGTACAAGGGGTCCTCGTAGTGCACGGGGGCGTCGTCGGGGAGCGCCCGCAGGTCCTGCATGCTGAAGCTGCGCAGACGCCCGGCCAGGGCTCCTTGGCTCTGCCCGGCAAATGGGAGAAGGGGAGAGACCAGGTCAGGGACCCAGCGCCAGAGGCACACACCACGCAGCAGCCGCAGCTCGGAGCGTCTCGGTCGGCCGTGGCAACTACGCCCAGGCGGAGAGGGGCAAGGGGTTAGTCACGCCACGGCCAGGCCTCTCCTGCAGGGGCTGCAGCCTCTCGGGAAGCTTCAGGAAGCGCTGGGTAGAGCCCAGAACCCCAACGTGTGTGTGTGCACAATTGTCTCACCCTCCTTAACAGGGGTCACATTGGCATTTACTGCGTAAACACAGGCACTTAACTGGCACATTTCACCACGAGGTCTCAAAACACTTCACCAGGCGTGTGCCAGTCCTGGGCTACGTTCCCTTGCTCATTTTTAATCATCCATGTGTGGAATAAATTTTGATGCGTGCACTGAGGCATGTGCGGATGTGCACCACTAATAGAAACACAGGCTGCTGGCGCTCTGTTAAGCAGCGGGGCAGCATTGGACTCTCTCCTGGGTGGCCGAGCAGGCGCTCAGCCTGTGTTGAAACGGGGCCAGAGGCTCCTGGGAAGCCAGGCGTGACTATTTTCCCCATGGTGCAAGGTGTCTAAGGCACCTGTCACTTGCCTCTGGCACTGGGGGAGGTTACAGGAGAGCACCGAGGAATCCAGATTAATAAGCACCTGGGTAAACAGGAAACCCAGCGAGTTTCCGGCTAGACACGGGGGTCAAGCCAACCTCGCCATCACGGGGAATCAGTGTAATTCAGGGGCGCTGTGGAGCACTGCGCCTGCCCGGATGTGGGGGCGCCGAGCCCCCCAAGAGAGTCTCTCGGGGCATCTGCCAGCCGTGCTGGTCTCTACCCAGGGAGGAGCAGGTACCTTGGCCGCAGCTTGGACGGCCGCCGTGGCCGCGATGTTGAGGCCCTTTCTGCCGAAGCTCACCATGGTCTCGTAGCCACGCTCCTTAGCCTGGGTGATGTACAGGTCGATATCCTGCAGAGACACGGCACAGTGGGGCCCGGGTCAGCCTGCTCTGAGGCACAAGGGCAGCGGGAACCCCCCCAGCTCGGCCAGCGGAGTCCGGAGCCAACAGGGGGGACACAATGCACAAGGCGACTCAGCCCCCCCACCCCAAAGTGTCACTGCTATTTATTTTTGTTTTTTGGCCCCAGTCAGTTCCTTTTTTTTTCTCAACAAGTTTTGCTGCTATTTGGGGGGGGGCGGGCGTGAGGGTTTCTCAAACATCAAAAAGGGGGCGTGATGCCGAAAAGTTTGGGAACCCCTGGCTCTAGCTCAACCAGAAGGTACGGGCTGGAGGCAGGGTTGCCAGGTGTCCGGTATTTGCGGCTTCTGTCCGGTAAAAAAAACCAAACAGAAAATACCGGACGTCTGGCGAGGATTTAAAGGCGCAGGGACTCTTTTTTGCTCAACAACTTTGGTCCCCGAGTTTTCGGGTTTTTTGTGAAACTATCTGGCAACTCTAGCCGGAGGCAGGAAGCCCTGGGGGAAGAGTCTCCGGTGTGTGCTATAGAGGTGGCCAGGACTGGAGGTGCTGGGGTTGCCGGGAGCCTCCATTCAGCTGACGGATGGAGCACGCAGCCGTGAGGGGGGGCCCCAGAGCGCTCCGCTCAGCAGTCCGCGGGGTGGGGAGCAAGAGCGCGAGCATGACAGCACGTGCCCCGCAGCCTGCCAAGGCAGGAGACCGGACGCCGGGCGGGGGACTGGAAGGGCGTGGATGGGGTTCTTCCTTCCCTGCCGTGGTGCAGGGCAGTGGCTCAGAGGGCGGATGGAGCACGCAGCCGTGAGGGGGGGCCCCAGAGCGCTCCGCTCAGCAGTCCGCGGGGTGGGGAGCAAGAGCGCGAGCATGACAGCACGTGCCCCGCAGCCTGCCAAGGCAGGAGACCGGACGCCGGGCGGGGGACTGGAAGGGCGTGGATGGGGTTCTTCCTTCCCTGCCGTGGTGCAGGGCAGTGGCTCAGAGGGGCCTGCTCTCCTTCGGGGGCACGTGCAGGCCACATCCCACAGCATGGGCGAGGATCTGGGTGGGCAGACAAGCAGCCAGGCGGGAGAGACAGGCCATAAACCCGGCCCAGCTTCCTGCAGAGAGCTCATAGGCATGCCCCAGCGACACCGCCCAATAGCAACAGCCCCTCGTATGGGACACGGC